GAATTTAAAGTAGATTAAAGTGCATTAAACTCATGTCAAAAATCTCATTGAAACATAAAGTGGACTTAATTTGGTTTGTCTTTATTCAAAAATTTAACCCAAACTAAGGCCACTTTAAGTCTGAGAGTTTCAACACAAATTTAATGCAGTTTAATCCACTTCAGATTCACACCTTTAGTTAATTTGGATTAATTTTCCTGAGTGTCCCATGTAGACAAGACCTCTGTGCTCTAGCTGTGTTCATTTGTCTGCCCTTTCAGCCTGTCGTAAACTAGTCTTAAATAGATCATTTGAAAGACCCTTTTGCAATACTTTATTGAGAAGCTGCTGGTGTCAGGATCTTCATGTATTCTTGACAAAGCTGATAGAGGTTCCTTTTTAAGCCAGTTGGTAGATGTGAACTCATGTTTCTTATTTAAAGGGGCATTTTCTCGGTGGTAATGATTTCGTATTGTAGAGTGAGCTTCAGGCGCTAATGGCCTACCTTCTGCAGTGTTTCATAAGGTTGTGGACGCAGTCATGTCCAAGTCGATGATGGAATTCCACCTTACTGAGTCTATTGTATTGCCAACATTCTTCCCATGCCTGCTGCATTTCCATCCCCTGGAGGTCTTTTTCCATACTCTTGACGTAAAAAGGTTCTTGGAGGTTCTGGTAGGAATGAACACAATTTGATAGGATCCAACAGCTCGTTATATAAAGTTTCTGTAGTGATGGGATTGCCCATGGAATTTGTGCTTTAAACGAGGTGTGTTGACTTTGAGCATTATTCCAGTGTGGGGTAGGAATGGCTGAAGCTTTGTCTACCCTACGGGCAAAAGTTGATCTAAGCTACGCAATTTGAGTTACATGAATAGCATAACTCAAGTCGACTTAGCTTAGATCTGCTTACTGCGGGGTCCACACTATGTGATATCAACGGGAGATGCTCTCCCGTCGATTTCCGCTTACTCTTCTCGATCCGGTGGAGTACAGAAGTCGATGGTGTTACCAGATGTTCTTTCAACCCAAAGCTCTTGGTAACTTTTACTCTGTGCGAGGTGGTCAGGAAATAAATCAGGGGAGACACGACCGACCGATAGATGGCTGGCACAAACAGGACAATACAAGAGTGCTTTCATTTAAAGCTAAACTTTACTTAGTCTCAAGCACTTACACATGTCCACAGCAGATTAGTAAAACACCCCCAATCCTCGATAATTACTGAAGCTGAGTGTGGCTCTAGAGTGGCACAGCGGTGGGGAACACAAGATGCATCCAGAGGGAGAGTCCAGTCCCACTACCTCAAACTTTCCCCCCTTATTTATACATTAGTAATACAATGACATGTCACTTAAAGAAAACTTGTTAAGCAAGCAGTTTCAACGGTCTAGCAAGAGGCTTCCTTCTGATTATTGATTAACCAGGTGTGGTTTTCCCCCAGAGTTTGCAGCCTTGAGACCCTGTTAGACACATTCCTGAGGGCACATCCTGCTCTTCTAAAATGCATGTATCAGCAACTTAAACACAACTCTTATCAGGAAGGACGCAGGGTCAAGCTGCCCTTTCTATGACACCCAACCCCCCCCCCCCTCCTTCCTGCCTTGGTCAAGCTGAGGCTGCTGCATGGCCACTTTACGGCCTGCTGACTTGGCTGCTTTTAGCAATAAGCCATAATGGTTTCAGGCACTTTACTGGTTTGCCGAAATCTCCCGGTACAGATGGGAGAGCGATCTGCAGTCGATTTAGCGGGTCTTCACTAGACCCACTAAATCGACCGCTGATGCCTTGATCACCACCTGTCGATCCCCTGGTAAGTCTAGACAAGCCCACATTCTTCTGCGCTTAGAGATTAAAAACAAAACATTAATACCCTAAGGAGGAGTTCTGCCTATCTGGCACTTGTGAGCTGAGATCCAAGAATGAGTGTCATGCACTATGGTTTTCAAGAAGTATAATTATAAGGTAAGCAATCTAACGTAGGATCTTATGGTTCAGCATACAGGTATGTCCGTGCTAATACTAGTATTTGATATGTACCTTATAAGAGATGGAAGAACTAGCATTGCTTTAGGTTGTAACACAGATACTTTGAGTCTTAATTGCTCATAAAATTGCTCACTGGCTTAATGTGGTCTCAAAGGGATTATTGAAGGGCTACAGGGGCTTGTCTATACATGGAGTTATTCAGGAATAGCTGTTCAAAAACAGATATTCCTGAATATCTCCATGTTTGGACAGTTATTTCAGAATAAGTGTGCCTTCCTCCTGGTTTTGCTTGATGTACTTTTAAAGTGGGTTAAGCTGCACAGGAACCTGGCATTCTTATGCCGCAATAAATGAGTTCACACTTGGAATTGTTCCTGAATAGCTTTTGCAGACAAATCCCTAGAAAATGGCTTGGTGGTAGGCAATGCATGAGTATGGTTTGCCTTTAAATACTATTTTCTTTTCTGTATATTCTGGAAATGTTCCATTTTGTAGGAATTGGACAATGGAATATATGATTTCAATGCGGCTACTAACACCATTTTGTAAAAAAAAAAACTTTGTTCTCCCAAAAAGCTTCTGATCCAGTGTTCGTTTGAAATGAAGTTTGACTAATATTTACTCGCCATTCTACTAATGACAAGACATGTAACTCATTCAGCATTCTTCTTGCAAAGAGTAATTTGATCTCTGATTCTCAATTGCTCCGGTTGCGGCTGCATTTTTTTTCCCTTCAAGCATGAGGACCTTGTTTGGCAATTATGTATTGTAATATAGCATGGCCCATTTCTTGTAGAGCTGATCAGAGGTTGACTTGTTGTTGGTTGATAAACTCAAATGTGTTTGAACTTATTAATTACTTGCATTGTTTCCGTTATAATTTAAAAACTTATGCACTTTTGTAAAAAATAATAATAATAATTAAATAAATAAATGTGCTCATGCAGAATAGAATAATTTCTTAGGGGGTTCACTGGCAAGTCAAATTGGATTGTTTTAATTAGAATATTCTATGCTCAGTTCAGTGTTTTATATGACTTTTTTGCGAGAGTACTATAAACACTAAATGTTAAACTTTTTTTGATTTTGCCACTATATAAACATAAGCCTTTGCATAGGATTTATAGTTATGAATATGTACAAGATGTGGCACCGCTTCTGTTTTTACAGAATCTGAATGTTTTAACCATTTCTCTATCTTGTATGTATATCAACAGTTTGCATATTTCTTTCACATAAAAAGCTTCTAAATTGTGTGCATATATACATTTTCAGTGTGGTGCACACAGTTCTGATCAGAACTTTAGAGAAAGGTAATACTTTTGGTTGCATATCAATGTTCTATTGAAACTGTGAAATATTCCCTTAATGTATGTTGTTTGTTCCAAGTCAAGCCAATATGATACACAAACAAACTCCAGTGCAACCTCTGAACTACTATGCTAAATTTCTTCTCCAGTGATCTTTTACTCATCTTTCTCATCATGCTGACTTGTCTCTCCTCTGTCTGTTCAGCAGTGGGAGACATTTAGTGAACGCTCTTCAAGCTCACAAACTCTGACCCAATTTGATTCTAACATTGCACCAGCTGATCCTGTAAGTCAATCACTTAGCTTGCTTGTTTGAAATTAATTTTATTAACACTGAATTTCCATACATTGTGTTTTTAGCTATTATGCATGATTCTTGCTTGGTTGGGACTGGTGGCAGGCTTATTAATTTTGTCTACTTACGATGGGAAGAGGGATTTCCTTTTTTTCCATTCACTCTTAATATTTGAGCACAGGAAATGTTGTTCTTGATTTTGATGTGATAAAAGTGCTATCAAATCTGTGTAAGGAAATGATTTGTGACACACTTACTGATGGATGTATACATTTTATTACACTTCATTTAAGACTTTTTGAATGTAAACAAAATATAATCCATAGAGCCACAGTGAACCAATAGTCTTATTAAATCCTTCAGTTATGTCACCCAAACTTGGACTTCAGCATAGCTCTCTTCTCTTTATGCCTTGTTGGTTTTGTGCACATAGACTCATAACTGACTTATCTAGATTATCTGAACATCCATATAAAACTTCATGTTCTTGTTGTTATATTCCAAAATTGGTGTGGTACTTCATAGTCATACATAATACTGCTATCAAGTTACTCTAGCAATAGAACAACTGCACTAATTGCAGCATTAGAAACTGCAGCAGTCCTGTGAATAGTGAGTAGTAGTTAACACCTTGCTTAGGTGTAGGGGCCAGCACATATCTTACTGTATTAAATTTGTTTAATTTCATAAAATCTTAGAGATTATATAAATGATTTTTAAAAATTTAATAACTCTGCAAAGTCTGAGTTAATACCATTGTTGCCAATATATTTGTATTACAGTAGCGTCTAGCGATCCCAGCCACAATCAGAGCTTCACTGTGGTAGGCACTGTATAAATAGTTCCTGTCCCAAAAAACTTAGTCCAAAAGCTTCCCTCGAATGTGTGATTAACAAAAAATCAAATTAAAACATCTGCCTTACAACTTAATATAAACACACTGCCTTCTTTCTGTTTGTATATTTCTTCACACAACGCACAGTCAACCTGTGGAACTCTTTGCTAGAGGATGTTGTGAAGGCCAAGTCTGTAACAGGTTTCAAAAAAGAACTAGATAAGTTCATGGAGGATAGGTCCATCAATGGTTATTAGCTAGGATGGGCAGGGATGCAAAACCATGCTCTGAAATGTACCTAGGCTCTGTTTGCCAGAAGGTGGGAATGGGCGACTGGGGATGGATCACTTGATTACCTGTTCTGTTCATTCCCTCTGAAACATCTGGCATTGGCCACTGTCAGAAGACAGGATACTGGGCTGGATGGACCATTGGTCTAACCCAGTATGACTGTTCTTATCCCTATTCCTCAGTGTAAACATAACTTACCTAAAGCTAATTACTCCTTCATGGAAGAATGTTAAAGCACTTTACAGCTATTAAATGCCTCCATTTCTTACAGCATATTTATTAGCAAATGCTTAGCTAATCAAGAACTGTAGCTATTGCATTGCTTTGTTCAACTTGTATTGTAGTCAGTAACTTATTTTTAGCAGTAATTAGCAAAAATGACAAGGAATCAACTGAGATGGGGAAATACATTTTTCTGTCCTGTGGATGATTTTACAGAATGATTTTTCTATATTGTGTATATTAAATATTGGCTTAATCACCTTCTTAAAGTCTTGACATATACTTGACTTTTGAAATGTAACAAGCAGTATAAAGCAGTAACACTGCTTGCAAAATTAGATTGTTATAGACTATTAGGCAGGTATGAAGCTTAGTTTTATTGCTATCATCACTACTTGAATCTTGGCAAGATGAAATCAATTTAATTTTGTTCATATATTCTGCTACCAGAAAACTGAATACCAGCAAATCCAAGTTAGTGTTGTTTTGCCACCTCTTCATATCCTAGAGATCTTGGATAATGACACCACAGCGCAGAGTTTAAAATACTAAAACTTGACGTGGCTTGCTCCTGCCTTTCAAAACCAGGGAGTCATTTATCTGGAACGTCCCTTAGTGACTGACTAAAGAGTAGTCACAAAATTAACTTTATTCAAAACCCTCTGTGCTGTAGGAGAAAACAGCTTGCTGACCCAAAATAAAATTGTTGGGTGGGGGGGTGAGCTTACATGTGAGGAATAAGGAAGAGAGGAGTAATACTGAATTTATAGTTTGGGTTTGGGAAAGCTGAAATTGCATTTTCAAATCCATCAGTAAAAAATAAAACGTGCCTTTTGTCACTGACTTTCCCTTAACTAAGTTGGGCAATATTATATCAAGCTATTCTAAATTTAAATCACACAAGATTTGTAATAGCCACACTTCAGAGTACATATGGATCATTCAGAAGCAAAGGACAATTGATCGCTACAATAGAAGACTGATCTGTATATAAAAACTTACATAGAAAGTATGAGATCCTCTTAAACCATGTTCATGCCTAAAGATCTTTTAATGTTCATAGTTCACAGTTTGAACTGTGGTAAGGAAGTGTTCTGTTTTCATTTGCAGTATACATTTAAACTTTTTATCTTCCCAGTACAGTGCAGGTTAGTTTAAACCGTGTAGAAATTATTCATGTTATATACATATACTCGGCCTTGTGAAAATGAGCTAACTGAACACAGTTTAAAGTGTGTAGTTTTCAAGAGCAATTTTAAATTTAAGACTGTTCTCCTCCCAGATACATATGCATATTTGCCATTGCCTTCAGTGGGAGTTGAGCACTCAAGTGCAGAGCTTGGCTTTGGTGGGGATATGAGTGCAAGATCTGGTAGCCCTTTATAGAGCATGACTTAGCCCATTTCATCTGACAATGGCCATAGAAGTACTTCATATAGATAACTGTTGCTGACGTTTAGAGCCACTATCTCTGCCTTTAGGTGGCATGTTAGACATCTCTTGAAGGGTATCTTTAAAAAAAAAAGACGCTTCCATCATGCTCTTGTAAGATATTAATGGGCTCCTTGAAATAGTGTGAATTTTACTGTACAGTAGAATTTTTAGACTATCAAGCCCATAAGAGTTTCCAGGATATTCTAATTTTTAAATTTTTGAAGCATCAGAAGTACATGGGGCACTCTGAAATGTCTACATCTAAAGATCCTGATCTTAAGTTTAAAAAGAAATTGAGTATTTCATAGCATGGACTACATCTCCTATTTCATGGACATACAAGACACCTGTGGCAACCACAACATCTGGTTATAGGGAAAGGTAATAATGGAAAGTATTTAAGGTATTTAGCTGTCTTTTGCAGTTTAGCAGTTACAGACACAGCTAGCACAATGTGACCAGCAGACTTCTATGAACCAGGGACCAAAGTTTGGAGACCACTGTAGGGAAGTCTAAATACCTGTACACGTGCACTGAGTTTAAGGATATTTGTTATGGACAGTGTTCTATCCCTCCCCCCCTCCATCCCCCCGCCCCAAAAAGTCCTTGTGGCACCTTAGAGACTAACAAATTTATGTGGGCATTAAGCTTTCGTGGGCTATAACCCACTTCATCAGATGCTTATGCCCAAATAAATGTTAGTCTCTAAGGTGCCACAAGGACTCCTCGTTGTTTTTGCTGATACAGACTAACACGGCTACCAATCTGAAACCTGTTCTATCTCAGGGTTTTATATTGCCACCGATCACCATAGTATCAAGTTCATAGGAACTCAGTAAAAATGTTTGCTTATGAATATAAGCTTAGGAACTGCCACTGAATGCAGTCAAAAGCAGCTCTTAATGGAATCATTTTAAAGCTAAAATAAAAACTTTTCTTCCTTCTCTGCAGGATACTGCTATTGTTCACCCGGTTCCCATTCGAATGACTCCAAGCAAAATCCACATGCAGGAAATGGAACTTAAAAGAACTGGAAGTGGTAAGCTATATTCTTGTGCGAATTATGAAAGCAGCTGCTGTGTTCATATAACATCTTACTGTATACTTATGTGGTGATGACTTTTAGAGCTTGATTTTCTTGCATAACAATTCTGCCTTGTGTCCTTGCACTTAGACAATAGTATCAGGGGATCCAACCAGTGTAACTATTCCAAGTGGTGGAGAACCTCATGAATTAAAGGAGCATACTGACACGATGATTTAGAGGGTTGATGGTTGCTATGAGGATTTCTCCATCTGCTTCTAGGATAAGATTGCTTGGAGTAGATTGGAAGCATCAAGATGCAGATCTGTGTCAGGAGTTGGAGAACTTTCCCAGATTTGCATATTCAAGTTCTTGAGGTGCTTGGGGAGCTCTGGACTATGACCTGTTACTTAGTGTGGTCGGTTCTATTTAGTAAAATCTAATGGGTGAGATTTGGTCTGCTACTGCTGGAGGCTTTCATCTTATCCATTTGAAACCTGCTAGCCTTCCTCAAATGATTTCTATGCCCATTCTCCAACATCTTTTGATTCTGACAATCTTGCTGTATTATTTCCCAGTCTCTAATCTTCATTTTTTTGCTGGGGGGGGAGGGGTTGGAGTGGGCTTCTATAATGTGCTAACACTGTAAATTCTAGAGATTTCCAGATAGCGGCAGCAGCCAAGAGCATGTTCCTTTTGGATCTGTGCGGGGAGATAAAGCATGTCTCTATGGTGCAGGTTTTGCCACATTTACTCATATCTATTCACACTCTATTTGGGCTTCATTTGCACACCACCTGGAAACTTCATTTAGTACAGATAGCAGTTGCCAGATTGTTTACCAGGACTCTTCATATGGGGTTCACTTCACCAGTGAATCATAAATTGATTTTACATCTCATTTGTTTCCAAATGCAATTCAGGTTATTAAGCTTTAACTGTAAAACCCATTGCGATTTGGGTCTTGTGCATCTGAGATCACTGCTTTTTGCTGTACTGTGGGGTTTGTGATCATATGAGGTGCTTGAATTAATAGTCTGTAGGGGAAGATTCTTTAGTCTGGAATTTATTGACCTCCAGGGCATGTTGCAAAGCCTACTGTCCTATGATTTTCAGAAGAGTGGGAAAGTAAAGTGAGGGGTTTTTGATGTCTTTTGATGTGCATCAGTGAATATATCAATTTAGATTTTATTTTTAAAATGTCTAACCTTTTATTATAAATTCATTTAGAACTCTTGACAAGGGCATTATATAAAATGAAAATTGTTTTTCTCTTAAAGGCATACTTGTCTGATGTCATGTCTTACACCAATGTACATTATTATGGTCGTACCTAGAGGACATGTTCCCATTTTGCTAGGCACTGCGTAGATATATAATAAATGGCCCCTGCCCCAAAGAGGCACTCTCATGCAGGGACTTGCTTATGTCATGTTTGTATAGTGCCTAGCACAATGGGACCCATATTGTTAACTTAATGAATCCTAAAACTGCAAAATTTTATGAACTTGACTATAATTTTACAATATTACATAGAAGGGCAAAACAAATGTCTTAAAGCCTGCAAGGATACATACGCTCAGGCATTTCACCACTGACACAAGAAATGAATGTTTTATAAGATTGTATATTTGGAAAAATTATTAGATATATGCATATTAACCAGTGCAATTATATACCAATATTGAAATGTAAAGTTTCAAAGTTTAATTTTTATTTATGAATTAATAGTTTTTGTGTTTAAAATTATAATTGTGTAGATAGCATCATTGTAGTTTATCCATCTAAAATTCCAATCAAGTGCAAAATTTTGGTTTAGGGCTGAACTTTCGTTAATGAAGACTTGGCCCCCGAAGAGAAGGATATTTCAGTGTATTTTGTATATCACTTAATCTTACATAAAAAGAATAGCAATAATCTTTTTTCCACCTAGATCTTGCTAATCCCACTAGCCCTCTACTTGTGAAACCACCTGACCTCTCAGAAGAAAATAATATGAGTTCATCAAAATTTGTAGCTGGAAATACAGTTGGTAAGTATCAAAGCAACTTTTAATCCAGGGGTGCCCAACCTATGGCCAACGGGCTGTACAAGGCCCACCAGAGCATTTCATAAGACCCACAACCAGCTTCAACACAGTATACTAACGGCTGATTCATTAGCGTGTTTTGTTGTCATGTTTACATCATTTTCATCTACACAAAAGTATATAGAATCTGTTTGGGTCACACAAGGTTGTGCTTAGTTGTGGTCCTCCTGTGTAATTAGGTTGGTCACCACTGTTTTAACCCATTTATCACACTTTAAAGGAATGTCAACCTGAATTATTGTTCTTGATGTTTCCAGCTAATAAGAACACAAACTGTTCCTGAAAAGCAAGAAACTTCTTAAAACAAATGTCCAACATTGTATTTTGACTTGGGAAGTATCTTCCTGTCTTACAAAAAGATAAAGGGATAGATAATAGCAGATAAAAATAGGTATAGCTTCTCTGGCTTCTTCATTGGAGCTGTGCCAATTTAGGCCATTTGAGGATCTAATCCTAAATCTGGTAAGAAATTAACTCTTATTTTAACTGATAAGACTATTTTCCTGTTCTCAGACATAATCTCAGAAATGTAAACTGGTTGCACTATTCTTTATCTCCAGCAGAAATAGCTTTAAGTAGAATTTGATCCCACTCTTGTCTCAAAACCAAATAGCAACATATTTTTTGAAGATTAGAAAACGGTTTTATACCAAAGGGAGGCATCTGCTGTCACTGTTTCAGTTTCTTTGAAAAATTGTGAGCCAAAATACCACAATTTCTTGTGATTGACTTTTGACATTTTTTTTCTAGGTACAGTTAACTTGTCAACCCTCTGTTTACCCTGGTTGCAGTAACTTGGTTTTTAATATTCTCTACACCAAATATATATATTGTACTATACCGATTTTATTAGACTGTTCTATGTGTAATCACACAGACCAGTCACAAATCAGATGTCTAAGTATCTTATCTCTCTGTGTTTTTATTCCTGAAACTGTTTTTCCTTCACTTTGTTCATTATATTGTATAACTTCCTTCATTAAAAATCAATACCTGACATTAGTCCTCTTGATCCGTTGCCATGAAGTATGGAGGCAGCTAAAACTGTCTCAGTGCCCCATATGGCATCAATTGGCAGAACATTCTGCAACAGCCATGTAAGACAGTCAATAGATCCCTTTTTGGCAACAGCATTTCCCTTACTCTTCAACTCAATTTCAGTGGTATAGTTTTCTTTCAGGGTCACTTCTTTTCAGGCCCCTCCTCTTTCCCTGTCCCTTTTCCTGGTGCAGAGTGCCCAGTCCTTACTCAGAAGTCTTCCAGTATGGTGGAGAAAATGTGCAATGACATGCTGTCTTATAGTGGGAGACTGCTGCTGCATTCAGGGACTGAATTCTGAAAGGGCCCTTTCTGGCTCTAACTCCTTGTTAGAGCAGCCTGCAGCCACTAAACAGGAGAAGGCAAATGCCATGCCTCTTCTAATTCTATAATTCCCAGCATGCTAGCCTGTATATTTTTTATTTCAGCAATGTGCCAGCAACCCGTCTTATACCGTTGTGTAGTCTTCTGCCCTACTGGGTAAATGTAGGCATGTCAAAGGTCATTTAGCAGAGATGTTTTCTCTAGCCATGATATGGACAAGGTGCGGGTGGTGAGGAAATGAAGGCACCTATTGACTTCTCTCATCCAGAAGTTTTTAAAAATATATATATAAAGAGGGAAGCAAATGTGTGAGAAGTGAAAAAAAATTTATGCACCATGATCCCCTATACAAGAAGGAGAATTATCCAACTCCAAAAGTCTGACCTAGCATCATATGGAAGGCTGTTAACCTTTCTGACCATAGGGTGAAATTATCTAAACTGAGCCTGAAGAAAGAAGCTGAGAGGATATTAATAAGGAAGTAGCTTCTTACCGCTAATCAAAAAGAGAATCCACTTTGCTTCTAAATCCAGTTGTAGAGGATATAATTTAATAAATATTGTATTTCCCAGCCAAAGTAGTGCAGTTACATGAGTTTTCAGTAAAGTGAATTCTTAAAAATCTCTTGCAGCCACTTCTAAGTTGAGAGTAATTCCTACCAAGGGTGAATTTTCCTCAGACAAACAGATGTTTCGGAAGTCAAAGTAAGAGTCAAGCCTTCCCTTTGTCCCTGTTCTTAGCTAGTCTGTGCTAGCTTGATGGAAGAAACTAAACACTGATTTAATCCAAGTACAAGATAAAAAAAATGTCGAAAGTATTGTGAACAAGATCTCAACTGTCTCAATTTAGTGGCACACCTGTATGAATGCATTCCATTTCCCCCCAGGGCTTAAAGGCATTGAAATCAGTTACAAGGCTGTATCTATGGTTCTGTTTGTGGACGGCCAAAACACAATCCAAAAGATTGGTATCCTCAGCCCAAATCCGTGTGTGGCAGCCTACTGGACAAATCTGAAAGTGCTGGAAATCATTATGTGGGGAGAGAAATTCTACATCCTACAAGGCCTTAATAGAAGTAAAAGGTCTTGCAGCTCTGGATATACCAGGAAGAATTATTCCTGTAAAGAAGAGGGTAGTGAAATAAAAGAAAATAGGTCAGTTAGTGGCCTGATGTTCTGCTGAAGTTGGCTGTCTCAAATCCAAGACCATTCTCAATCACTGGAAGCCTATTCCTTTCCCAGGAGAAATTGTAAAATGCCATTACAAACAAATAAATACAGAAAATAATTTGGAAGGTTATGCTAATCTATATACCTCAAGAAACCAGTTAATGCAATTGGAACTGATTGTCTCTTATATTGTGACACACAAATTGTGAGACGGTCTCTTTAAGGATTTTTTTCTTATCATGGACTAGCAGATGAGGAGGGGGATCAGGTAGCCCAGGGAGGTTACCTTATTCCTTTCTGAGGAATTTATAGAGCTGCGCATCACCATAGTGTCTGAGCACCTTCCACATGAAATGAATAGCAAGGTCCCTAGTGAACTAAGTGGAGCCTGTAGCTTGTCTCCCTTTTTCAGTGTAAAAATTCTACTTGAGGACTTTATTTTGTTTAGTTTTTGGTTGATTTGTGGGGTGGCTTTTTGGGAGTGTAGTGTATCGGGGGGAACCGTGTTAGTCTGAATCTGTAAAAGGCAACAGAGGGTCCTGTGGCACCTTTAAGACTTGCGTCTTATGAATTGGGCATGCACCCACGAAAGCTTATGCTTCAATACTTCTGTTAGTCTTAAAGGTGCCACAGGACCCTCTGTTGCATTTGGGGGGGAGGGAGTATTGTTCTTGCTGTGGTAAATAGACTTGGTCTAAGAGGAAAATTCTGCAGTTTCCTATGGACAATCAGATGGGACTTAGCTGTCTTCTGGAAGCTTGTTTCATAGCCAGATCTCCTTGACTGAGAGTGCTTTTTTCTTAGCTCTCAAGTGCTTCCTCCTGGGCTTTGTGGTCTGCATTTCCCCAGAGGAGTGCAACTCTCTTGGTGATTCACAGATCAGATTCAGTCTTTAATGTATCTGGGGCTTGAACCATAAACTTCTTTGAAGATCGGAACCAAGACCTTAAACTGGCATCTGAAAATGACTGGGAACCTGTGGAGGGACTCAAGCAAGGGTCTGATGTGCTCACGGAAGCCTAGACCATGGAGGTTCTTGTGCATTTTCACATTCAGCTTCAGATGCAGGGAATTCCAGTAATCCTGTCTGGAGGTAATGAGTGCATGGATAACTGTGGCCAGGTCCACATTCAAGAGGAAGGGATGAAATTTCCCAACAAACAGGAAGTGAAAAGATCTTTTTAGACACTACCATTGCTGGGTCGTCTCTCTCTGCACAGGTTACTTGATTGTACGGGGGAAGAGGATAAACCCTTTCTTTAGAAAGGGGTAGCTGGAGAAGAGGTTGGCTTGTAGTCTGCCTAGCCACTTGAACTCCTCTAGAGCTGGAATTGCAGAGTCACTACATGAGAAGAAGTGAACAAAAGTAATATTTGGAACAAGGAGAAAATTGTCATTTTTCTCCAGGCTTTATTAAAAAAAAAGGAAGGGAAAAAACCCAAAAGAGCTGAGCAGTGCTGCATAAGAAAACCTTTCAGTAAGAAATTATTTTGAATCCATTACTTATTTAAATTAGGTTACATTCTGCTTAAATCATGTAAGCTTTTGCTTTTGGGTTTAAGAAATTCTAGAACCATCAGATGTAGGGGGCATAGAAGATTTGCAGACCTGACTGCCATCCCAGGGTATACTGGAATACCCTGGGGAATGGGGTAGTTGGTTACAAAGAAGCTGGTAAACAGACCTCTAGAACACAGCTTTTTTCCTCCCTGAACTGGCTATTGCCTACCTGAAAATAAAGTGGTGTTCTCTCTGGAAATACACTCCTGCAGTACTTCCCTTTTAGAAAGTTTTACTCAGACCAGTAGAAAACTAGCATGGCCGACAGAATTAGGAAAATTCTAAACGATGTGCAAGAGTAGACTTTTGCAGAGTTATGTTTCTCCATCCTTATAGGAGTTGCTCACGCTCCTCCAGTGTCATCAAGGGAAGGGAAGTACTGTTGCAGTTAATTGTATAATGCCCAAATTACCTTATCCAAACATACACCTCTACCCCGATATAATGCTGTCCTCAGGAGCCAAAAAAATCTTACCGCGTTATAGGTGAAACCGTGTTATATCGAACTTGCTTTGATCCATCGGAGTGCGCAGCCCCCCCCCCCCCCGAGCACTGCTTTACCGCGTTATATCCAAATTTGTGTTATATCGAGTCGCGTTACATCAGGGTAGGGGTGTATTTAGAAGTAACCATTCTATTACAAAAAATCCAGTAACTTTCTGTTGGAGTGACAAAGCAAGTTTCTTGCCCAGAGAGGTTTACCATCCTTTACTGCTCTTCTCTATAGATATCTGGTTGACTAAGAGGCATCTTGGACCTTGAGTGGCTCCACAAACATACTCAATATACCAGGCTTAAGATACAGACCACTTCATCCACTATGTAGCTAGCTTATATTACAACACTTCTCTCATTTCTGTAGACTTGAAGGAGGCTTCCTTACATATAGTTGCCTTAAGACCAGGGTCACATCAAAATAATGTAGTTCCATTTCACTCTGTGCCATGTAGAGTATTCATGAATGTATTCGATACTCGGATAGGACCCCCCCGCCCCCACCAAACTGAGGTTCTATATTTTTGTCCATTATTTCTTATCCTGATATGAGACAGAATAAAGGAATTGGTGTTGAAAGTGGTATCAGACGTAGCAGTTCAGTGACAATGGTTCATTCTATCTATATCCAACCCAGAAGCCAATCTATACCCAATACAGAAGGTTAATACTCTTCTGTGGATTTATGAAAACTAAGTGCTATGCCAGTTGATCATTTTAAAGATCAGAATGAAGATAATCTACAGGTTTCCTCTGTAAGATGTATAAGAAGCTTTTATAAAGCAAGGGAACTTGGTCCGTTGAGCACGGATAGTGGTTGGCAGTCTACTTCACCTTGTGAGCAGAGGTTTTTGCAAGAACTTCGCAAGATCACCACTTCATCTAACGTTTACAATGCCACAGAATATTAATACAGCTTTCCAAGCTTGCACAGACATTGTCTTTGCACACAGGGTTCTTCAAGAAATGGTTGGACTCTGAACCATTCTATACACAATGTTTTAGAGGTGTGTTACCACTCTGTTGGATTGGGGGGGGGGGGAGGGAGTGCTATTGAAGGTTCTTACCTGTCAATATTTCTTAGAAACTTGAATGCACCTTGATCCAGGCAATCCTCGGTTTTTAAAGGAGATATATATATTTGGATATCAACATTTTCATTCTGTACATAGTTCCCACACTTAGCAGGTTTTCCTTTTTTACACCCATACATATCTAAATGTTTTGCTCTGCATAGAATTTTTTTCTATTTTTGGAGCTGAAACGAAGTACAGTGATGCCTCTGGCTGCCTCCTTACTCTATGATAAGGGACTCAGCCCAACTGCACAGGGTACGGGGACCTGCAGTCTTCTTTTAAAACAAAAACTGACTGGTGAGAATTTCTTAATGTAAAGATATCATCTCTGTAGTATTCTCACTTCTGGGTCTGAGCTCACCAGTGAGACAGACAGAAGTGCAAACTTAATTTTTTGGGGCATAGCTTCCAAAAGAGTAATCCTCAGATCATTAGCCTGAGTTGACTTTAGCAGTCGATCACTGGGCCTCTGTACCACCCAGCTTTTCTCTAGTTCCAGTTAGGTAGCTTCACCACTGAAGCATCCTGCAATATATTTTCCACTAGGAATTCCAGCACAGTCCCCAGTATCCTTTGGTCTCAGAGTTTGAAGTCAACACTACACACTTACAGCTTGTTGGAGGCTACACAACACCTCTATGCAATGAGTGGATGTCTTTCTATAGAAGGCAATGAAGTCAAAGGCCACCCTTCGTTCTTTTTAGTCTGTCTTGTCCTTCTGGTCCATCTCTGAAGGGAGGGAAGATATGCCTCACTTAAAAAGCAAGCTTTTATGTCAGCAGCTGACTTCTAAAGTGCTCAGGGCACTCTGCCTCTATATCAGCAGCAACATAAAGATTTTAATTTTCCTTTCAATGAGCACCAAACATTTTTAAGGGTTCTAGAATATATTGCTAGCCAGAGTTTGCCAGGAACTCCTGTTTTTTGGAGCCATACTGTAACCTTTTGTCCTGGGTATAATGTGGGTCCTAACCTAATTTTTTGGCTCTACAGAATGTTTTTCTTAAAGTCCTATTGAATCCCTCCTCTTACTCAGCCAAGAATGCTTTTGAACATACTCTGATTTGTGAAAGATACTATTGGAAATCCAGACTCATGCCAGTGAGATAGGTGGGATTTTATTCTACATGCTTCCTGGTAATTAAAGATGAGGAAACTTCTGTGTCATGGATCTCAGGGACCCAAATTGGTTTTTGGCCAGAGAAATTCTAGATAGGCATGATGCATCCTGGAGGAGCTCTTCTAAATTAATGCTGATGCTTAAAATGGTAGATAGAAAAAGATTTGAGCTATAAACAGGGAAATGTGGATCTCTTTACCTGTTCTTCACCAGCTTCTTGACCTCTGAGATTAATTTAGACTAACTTCATCCAACTACATTTGTCAGTTATTTTGGCATCTCATGAACCAGTTGACCAGTGTCACTGTATCACCTTGTTTTCAGGTTCTTGTGGGAACTGACTCTTTTTTGGAAGCCGTTTGTGTCATGAGAGATTAATATATTCTGCCAAAGATACTAACTCAGAAGGAGACTTCATTATCTGAGACTCCATTTTCTTAGGTGGGCATCGACTTTTCTAACCTCAGGTCATAGCAAGTCTCATGCTGTAGTGATTATTCATTGTAAACCACGCTTCACCAGAATGAAGTCGTGCTATGGACTCATCTGAGATTCTCCTCAAGGTGGTGATGGAATTCACCTTAATGAGCCAGTTTTGCCAATTTGTTCCACATTCACATGTGTGAGAGCTTTTTCTGTCTGCTTGAGAAGTTTTTAGTGGTTCTACTCTGAGCTACTAAGATCCTGACAGTCAACCCAACTTGACAAATTCCCAAGGCAGTGCTATCACATAAGAGGATTGTATCTAAATATTTCTGTGGTTGCATCTCACGTTGCTGCAAATTGACTAGCCTAAAGCTGGAAACCCATGTCAAAGTTCATTCAGTCCAAGATATAGCTGCTGCCCTGCTTCTGGTTTGTTTCCCTTCTCAGATACATGTCAGGGCAGTTACATGGTCCTGATCTCTCTGCGTCTTAAAAAGGTTTTAATTGATTTGGCCTCTAGGAAGGAATTCTGCTTCAAGCCTCCGTCCTGCAGAAACTGTTCACAAAATAGAGGAACCTATACTCGTTACCTGCTTGTTTTTGTCATCTGATGTATTTTAAAAGGTTCTGAAGTGAAAGGCCTGATTCTTAGGTCTTACTCCATCTTTTAAAAACAAAATACACCAACTTGTTCACAGAGTGGGCATTGTCTTAGTTTGTTCTGCCAACAACTATATTATTGTTACTTTCTTTGGGGACATTCAGTTACTTTGACTCAAGGTTTAGAATCCTGCCCAGATGGTATCTTACAGGGAAGTACAACAATAAGGTACATACTTATTTTTTGGACTTGAAATAATCTTTTCTATTGCTGCGTAGGTAATATAACCTGTTGCTGTTTTTAGCATAATTAAATTATGATAAATGAACACTACGAAAATGAAATTTTGTACTTTCATTCTACCAGCAGATGGTTACAGCAGTTCAGACTCCTATACTTCAGATCCAGAGCAGATTGGAAGCACTGTAACTCGGCAACGGTCAGTAGAGTAGTAACAAGAAATATTAAAGGTTATAAAACACACTTCCTCCCTCCCAAATGATCTTTTTGGCTGTTTAATAACTAGCATTTAAAAGGCCAAATAAAGATTTATGGTGGCCATTATTTTAACAATCAAAAGTGTAGGCAACCTGTTCCCTAGTGATATATGGTAGAAGTGTATCAGTCTGCCCTTAATATGTATAAAGTTAAAATTTCTGGTGCAGCAGAACAGCACTGCTTGATTACAGTGGCAAGCCTGGAATTGGCTAGTCAGTTATTATTCCATGTTCAGTCATGAGAACATTCTACTTGATAAATCCAGAGAAGGGCAACAACAATGATTAAAGGTCTAGAAAACATGACCTCTGAGAGAAGATTGAAATAATTGGGTTTGTTTAGTCTGAAGAAGAGAAGACTGAAGGGGGACATAAGTTTTCAAGTACATAAAAGGTTGTTACAAGGAGGAGGGAGAAAAATGGTTCTCGTTGTCCTATCCTCAGAGGTTAAGCAGCAATGGCTTAAATTGCAGCAAGAGTGGTTTAGGTTGGACATTAGGAAAAACTTCCTAACTATCAGGGTAGTTAAGCACTGGAATAAATTGCCTAGGGAGGTTGTAGAATCTCCATCATTGGACATTTTTAAGAGCAGGTTGGACAAACACCTGTCAGGGATGGTCTAGATAATACTTAGTCCTGCCTTGAGTGCAGGGACTGGACTAGATGACTTCCCAAGGACCCTTCTGGTTCTACTATGCTATGATTTACTAAATAAGAACATCATATATAAAAGAGGATTTTAAAAGCACTGAAAATCTCCAGTATGGAGGGGAGACTTTGTACAGTAGGACTGGAAATCAGTGTTGCTGTTAAACAGCATAGGATCAGTTTTTAAGTTATATCTTAAAACTAAAATAATTAGGGTGACTTCATGTAGTAAACATTATAAAAACTGTTAATTACAAACCCTTTCTGGTTATTTTAACTTGTAGTGTTTTCCAGTGTTGCTTAATTGCAAATTTGATTCTTTGTCTACTTTTATATAAATCTTTACTGAGATGGTGGTTTTTGTTGATGTAGCCATCTTGTTGTTGAGAAGGTGATGTTGCTACACAGACAGGAAAACCCCCTTCCATCGGTGTAGGCTGCATCTACATCACGGGGTTATGCTGACATGGCCTCTGTAGTATAGACTTACCCCCAAGTTTCTTTTTTTTAATGAGTGCACCAAAAGTACTCTAGACAAAAAATCTCATTCAGATAGTACTACAGCAACATAAGACTTCATCTCTCTTTAACCTCATTCCGAGTTTGGGCTTATCAAACGGGGGTTGTGACCCCTCAAGGGGTTGCGAGCTCTCAGCCTCCACCCCCAAACCTTGCTATGCCTCCAGCATTTATAAGAGGGTTAAATGTTTAAAAAGTGTTTTTAATTTATAAAGGGGATCACACTCAGAGGCTTGTTGTGTGAAAGGAGTCCCCAGTACAAAAGTTTGAGAACCACTGCCTAAAAGGTGTAAATCTTTGCAGGATCTGCATCTGCATTTGGATCTTGACATTACTAATTATGTCTTGCATTTGTAAGAGCTTAAAATTCATGCAAAATAACAAAACACCCAAGAATAAGGGCAGTATTTCTCAAGATCCTAAACAAATGAACTAGGTAATAGAAACTTCAGATGGAAAAGCTAGCATTCACATCTGCAAACATATACTGACACTACCTCAGCTTGATCATGCTCAAGGCTGACTTGTATATGAGTGAGGCAGAGCCACCAGAAATTCCATTTTCTTTACACCATCCCACTTAACAGTAGAAAACAATTCCTATTCAGGCTATTGACAGAAACTTGCATGTTTCACAAAAGTCCTGATCATAATGACTTCCAGTCTAGGTTGGATATTGCATACCTTCTCCTGAATTAACACTTGGGATGTCTACTGTCCGACACTATAGGCTTCCACAAACATTACAGTAGGTAATAAGAGTGCAATAAGGAGGGCTAATATGGATTTTGAAGAGGAAATAAAAGTATAAAAACAAATTCAGTTATCAGAAGTGGGAAACACCAGTCTCTTGATTTAAAAACTAAATGTGGCTGGGGGAAAAGGAGCTGGTAACGGCTATTAATCTTGAAACAAGATTTCTTCATACAGATGTTTTGGGTTGCACTTTGCAACTGAATTTCTACTGTTCTGGCTGTCTAAGCCTCTACAGAGGTTTACTTGTTTTGCAGGTCACATTCAGGAACATCTCCAGAGAACACTGCACCACCCCCACCCCCTCCTAGACCTCATCCTTCACATTCTCGATCATCATCTTTAGATATGAACAGATCCTTTACAGTTACTCCAGGTAGGTATATTATACATCCATGTGTTTGCTACTTTGTTTAGTACATATTTATCTTAAACAAACAAAAAAAATTCTCTGGAGAAAGTGTTAACTTTATTTTTAAATAGACAGCATTAGGTTTGAAGTGAAAGGCTTAGTGTTATATCTACTAATTGCTTTTATTAAAATTTAGACTCCCTTTTAAAGGAAAACAGTGGCTTAAACAACAACTTAATTAAAACAGTAAGTTCCTAGATAAAATGTCAGTACATGAGAGGCAGTGTAGTCAAGTGAATGGGAGCCACGAACCCCAGTGACCCAACTGAGGACTGCACATTCCAAATTGAATGTGCTCAAAATTGAAGCAGGTAGGAGTTCTTGACAGATGCAGATTCAGATGCAAAAGGGTGGTAATAGATTTATAGCCTCAGAGAATTCTTACAGGCAACTTACTGTTTGTTGACAGAGATGCTGTCTTTATAATTTCAGCTCATGATCTTAAAGCAATGTACAAATGTTTTTCTGCTGGGGAAAAAACCTGAGGTGTAGAGAAGTTTACACAGCAAACTAATGATGTGAGGAGTAGAACCCAGGTCTGATTCTCAGTCTCTTGCTCTGTCCTTTTGCCAATTTTGTGTTTGACCAAAGAGGCCACAGTATTGTAGCCTTATCTGTAGTTATGGTTTGATTTAACCAGTTACCTGCCTCAAGGTGAGGGCTTACACCTACTTTAATCTGTGAGTGTTCAGCCCACAAGATTGACTATAGCGGAGAGGTTATCAACAGAAGGGGGACCCCATGGTGCACAACCGAGGCCATCTAGTGCTCTTTCTGTAATAATTTTTCTTAATAGCCAACCATACAATACACACTGCAGTCTGGTAAAGGAGACACCAATTCAGAACGTGTAATATTTAGGATTACTCACACCATGCCTTGGTGAAAAACCCCAACTTCACCACCACCATTGTCATGCTGACGTCTCTCTCTTTTCCTCCTCCTCCTCCTCCT